ATGTGGTTTTAACTGGAGCAGTAAGAGAAGTGGAAGGCTCTGGTAAACAGCTGAGAAAGAGGCCCGCGGTGCCTGCAGTCTGACAAACAGATGCCCCCAAAGTCCTCAGCTGGACAGTTTCATTAAGTGATTTTTTTTTTTTAAAAAACAGATGAATCCAAAACAACTTTATTGATCTTCATTGATTCTCTAATTAAAGAGGAGTTCTGATGATGAATTTATCTTTTAAAGTGATGGCTGCTGAAAATGGGCCTCTGTGTCTCTACACAGATATTGCATTAAAAAGTCATTAAGCACATTGAAAATAGACAGAAAACATAAAACCGAAGTGTTTTTCTTTACAAAAATTTCCTAATGATCCCCAAACATTTTCTCCAAGATGGGGAGGGTACACTCGCTGTCCACTTTATCAGATCTGTTCAACAGATTGCTGGTGCAAATATCTAATCAGCCAATCACATGGGAGCAACCTTAGTACGAATTGTGCATCCCCATTGGCCTCCACCATCATCAGATGTCAATCCAACAGTCTTTGGAATGAGGTAGAACAAAAGATTCACATCATGGATGTCAGGCCAGCATATCTGCAGCAGCTGTGTGATGCTGTCGTGTCATTATGGACCAAAATCTCCGAGGAACGTTTCCAGCGCCTTGTGTAATCAGTTGAATGCAAAAAGAAATCTAAGCTGGTAGTCAAGCGTAGCAGTGAGTGTAGATCTAAAAGAAATTACTGTTAAATGAATTGGAAAGTTACTGGGATTTTTTAATAGGCATAAGACTGGATGATCGAATCTAAATCCAAACAAATCAGTCTCGTCGTTTCCTTTTGGATTTCCGTGTTTGTCCTTGAAGGTATATATCAGTAGCGCTCCCGTCTCCATGAGTACACATGCTCCACACATTCATGCTAGTTTACAACTTAGCGATGACTACAAAGAAATGTATAGCATTATTTAACGTACATGGTAGTAAAAACCACACATCCTTTTCCTGAGTAAGGAACTGGAAAAAACAGGAGTTGAGCCATAAAGTAGAATTAATGTTTATAATCAGTCTCTGTGAGTGAAACCTAGATACATAGCCACTGGTGTCGATCTAAACTGTGATTATGCATTGGTCCTGAAAGCATTTGTGTGTAGTAAATATGTTGTTTTATTGCAGTGCATGATAATGCAATCATTACTTATTAAGATATTTAAACTGTGTTATGTGTACAGTGTGATTCTGTGATAAAACTGACCATACTGTTCAGATTTGACAGTGTTTAATAATATAATAAATATATTATTTAATTAGAGTGTGGATTATTCTTATTGTCCATCATTCCATTATTTGTAAGAGTCAAAGGGTATGTGAACAACTTCCTAAGAAGACCAGCAGTGCTGTGTGACTTCATCAGTCTCACGTCACGATGTTGCTTGGTGGGCATTTCTTTATGCACAACTGAGGTCCCAACACAGCATTTCAATAAAGGCTCGCCTTGACTCGGCCACTGCTTTTCTTTTCAGCTGTTCTGTTGTAGATTTGCTGATGTGCTTGGGATCATCACTCTGTTGAATGACCTGGTTTGGGCCGAGCTTTAGCTGTCGGACAGACGGAGTCACAATTGACTCTAGGATACTTTACAGAGTTGGTGTGTGTGTGAAGGTTCTCAGTCATCCAGGTCATCGTAGTC